AGGAAGAAATTCTTCCCTCTGAGGGTGGGGAGGCACTGGACCAGGTTGCCCAGAGAAGCTGTGGCTGCCCCATCCCTTGAAATGTTCAAGGCCAGGTTGGATGAGGCTTTGAGCAACCTGGTGTAGTGGAAGGTGTCCCTGTCCATGGCAGGGGGGTTGGAACTGCATGATCTTGAATGTCTCTTCCAACTCAAACCATTCTATGATTTCATTTTATTATACTCATTTAAAAAATACTACTTTTCTTCTTAAACTGCCTTGGATTTTTCTTCTGTCTGAATTCATCTGGGTTCTGTGCAATGTCACCAGGTCAGTTTGTGCTCCTGCTGCAATTCTAATTGTGTCAGCTTTCCGTTTTCCAGGAAGTTGGGAGATTTTTCTTTTTCTTTCCTTCTTTTTTTTTTTTCCCTTTTTTATTTTCCCTTTTTTTTTCCCCCAAGTCAAAAATTATTTTGCATAACAGTAATAATGTTAATGGCCCTGCACAGCACATCCAGATTACAGCTGCAGCTAGGGAGAAATAAACATCTCATCTTTGCCCTGCTGTTTATCTCCCCACAGCAGAGCCCTGTATCAGGTCAGAACCTGTAATTTCATTAACTTTATCACTCAGACACGCTTGTTGCTCGATGTCATTATTCAGCACATCGCTCCCGCAGTTTGTTTGTGCCGGGCTTCACTTCGGATACTCCGGCACCGCGCGGGAGCAGCCCTCCCCACCGTATTGCTGCTGAGTGCTGCAGGAGATTTGGGGGGAAAGTTTGGCTCGCCGATTCGTGCTCTGCAAAACAGACATTTGTGCTGCTCACCCTCCTGGGCAGGGACTTCTCTCCCATTTTGCGAGGCTGTACGCAGCAGAGTCATCCAGTGCAATTCCCTGCCCAACCTGAGATATCCAGAAGCTCCACGTGGGGGATAAAAAACCCCACACTCTTCCTCGTGAAAAGGTCAAGGGAGCCCAAGAGCCGCACGGTGCGGGGTGCACCGATCCCAACGGATGGAAAGTGCCCGCCACCAGCACGACCTGGTACCTGCATATCAATCATGTTGGGGAAAGCACAGAGCGCAGGCAGGTGGAGGGCAAGCCGAGACGCTCCATCTTCATCGGATTTGCCATCCCTGGTAATTAACACCGGGAAGTGACACTTGAAAGAGCCTCTAGTGACAGCCCCAGCGCTGATACCGTTTGGAGTCCGCTGACAAGTCCCAGCTGATGTCTTATCATGATGCTACGCTGCGAGAGCGGCCAGGAGAGCTTTTCCCTTGGCGCTGATGGACTGCTCGGGATGTGGGCACAGCTCCTCGCCCAGCTCTGGTGATAGCACCAAAACCTGGCGGCTCCAGCCATGCAGCCGGGCACCTGGGGCAAGGCCAACCCCATCCTCGAGCTAGGACCATGCTCCAGCTGGGTTTCCCTTGCCGCATCCATCTTCAATCCAGCTGTAAAACCGTGGTCGAGCAGAACTTATTTTCCTGCCCTTGGGGATCTCCATGTACGCAGTGTCTGCTCACACCAACTGCAGTTTCTCCACCTCACCTGCCACACCCCCGCAGGAATTGCGGCTGCATCTGCCACTTGCGGGCAGGTCGCGGCGCCCATGCATGCAGCACGTCCAACGCCTCCCGAATCACCGCGTTTCCCAAATGCATGCAAACCGAGTCAGAGCACAAAGCCCACAGCACATATATTTATCTTTCTAGTCTAGAAATCCTAGATCCGACCTACAGACACCCCATCATCCTTGGCAATCCAAGCCCTGATCAGCTTCAGCAGAGAGGAGGAACGAGCATGTACCATAGCCTGACTCCTTAAGCAAAGCCTCATCCAAGAGGAAAAAGTGCCCATCTGGGAGGAAACACAGGATGAACTGGCACGGTTTGGAAGGATCAGACCAGGCAAGGCACAAACCTGCCTCGATCCAAGGATCAAAGCCCAACGGCATCGCGAGCTGAGCTGGTGGGAGCGTTTTGAACATATCGCACAGCCTGGGGTGGGTCCCGGCCCCGCAGGCAGCTTGCAGCTGCGGCTTGGGGGGATTTTTCAGTCAGTATAAGAAGTTCTTTATTGCCAATTCCTGAAGCCCTCGGATAGTTTAATATTCTGCCCTAGATCTTGTTTACTATTATGTTTTGAAGAGAACTGAAATGCAGTTACTGCTGTCTTCCCCACTCACACAACTCTAAATAATTTATGGAAAAGCAAAACAAAGAAGAGAGTATGAAAGAATAAAAAAGGTGGCTCAGTTACGATATATGAAGGCTTTCATTTGTTCATGAGGGTTGGGGAAACATCTCTTAACACCACGGGCCGGTAACAGCCAGCCATACACAAAGCGAGATGCCACCAGGGACGCTCAGACCAGCACTTGAGGATGGCAGGTGGACCCCCAGGCACCTCCGTGTGTGTTTGAGCAATGATAACCATCACCGCTGCAATAACCTTGTTTACAAGAGGGAAGAGTAAAAAGCACTTTAAGTGTGGAAGAAACACAACCTCAGCCACCACTTAATGACTGTGGCAAGCGCAGGGACCTGCTTTCCAGACATGATGCATCATCTGGGTTCTCCCTGGCTCCCTTGCTGTGGTCTCCTCTGCGGAGCCGAGGAAAGTTTTCATCCCCATCCCTGTCCCCCAGCACCACCAACGTGGGCGCTCCAACAGAGACCACTCTGTCTGTATGGGAATCCCACACACTCATCAGAAGAAGGGAGGGATGGTCCAGCGTCACCCCAAGAGCCCATTCCCCGCGCAGAGTGAGCCAGTGCATCTGTTCCTGGCTCCCGCTGGAGTCACTCAGCAATTAGCACTAATGTACTTTGCTTTTGTTTTTTCAAACGCATTTCACTGTGTGTTGCAGGTGAACAATATTAAATGGCTTCTAATGACATTTCAATAAGCAGAGGTGGGTGTTGCAGCTTCTGAGAGACAGACTTTAAAAACGCAGGCAATCAGGCGTGCATTAGCCGAAACACTCTGGGGAAAGCACTGCTCTTCGTGCAGGAGCAACATCCCCCCGAGTCACGCAGCTGTACCCGTGCAGCCGGCAGTCCCTCCGTCCCTGTGCGCGGGCAGCGCCCAGACCCTGCCTGGCCCTCTCGGTGACAGTTCTCCA